TATATCCAAATTTCCTTTAATTTTGACATTTGTCATTTTAGTGTTTTGGTTGTTTTTGGTCATTTTCTGTCAAAATTTTTAGAAATTTATAAAAATTATATATTTATATTTCCAATTTACTTTTCAAAATTTCCTATAACATAAGTTGGATATATATGCACACGATGAGCCAATAAAATTCAAAATCGGTCCAGTAGTTTGGGCGTCCATCGTGAACCAACATCGTGACACGAGATTTATATATATATATATATATATATATATATATATATATATATACACATCCTGAAAATATAAAAAATTTACCTTCAATCCTGAAATTCCATCAAAAATCCATATATGAAAATGCAACTTCTTTATTCACTTATTATTTATTTATATAAAAAATGTAAATAACTTTTTCAAGAATCATAAAAACGGCAAAATGTCATCATATCTATATATCGCATTGACAAAATCTCATAATGGACTGTTGTATGTGTGTTTTACATCTTATTTAAAGAAATATTATTCGTTAAAAAGGCTTCGATTAAATCTATTAAGAATTAATTAGAATCTGCTGCTCGGGATAAATTTGATAAAGATCTTTCATAATAAAGTTAGTCGTGTAGTAAGTTAGTTTGTTAGTTCTATTTTTTTTTCACAAGCATTCTTCTTGAAAATATTTGTGTTTTGTTGAATTAACTGTTACTAGAGGCTGCGGCAGCTTCTTGCTCTTTTTTTCTTTGTTTTTCACGCATCAGCTCGGCATCCCTGGGAAAAGAAAGAAAATTGTGGTGACATCTGGGTGAGATATAGTTTTAGCAAATACTTAAACCACAGGGGTAAAAGACTCTTGTAGGTTTTGTAAATTCAAAGTTTAAACGTTTTTTCTAAACAATTTTGTCTAAGATAATAAATGTTTATATACACGATTATAGATACATTAATTAGCTTTTAATGATATATAATACTGATAATATTATTTAAATACATTTAAACAAATAAATATAAATATAATCCAAGTGCCTCTGATAAAAATTTTAATGCCAAAGTATAACTATTATTTTTATATAATTTTGTTCCAACAGTTATAAAATGTTAAAAACAGATTTATAGATAATTTTATCTACTTTTTAACCATACATTATTATATACAAAAATAAATATGTATTTTAACAAAATATGCTAAATATAAAAAAAATGTAACCACCATTAACTAAACTAACAAAAATTTCAAATTTCACTTATTTTTTGTATTTAATTTTGTTTCAAAAGTTTTTAAGCATTATATACAGATTTATAGACAATTTAATTAGCTTTCTAACAATATACAAAACTATTGTTATATTTAAATTATTTATAATAAAGTTAAATTATATATATAAACTATCGTTATATTTAAATTATTTATAATAAAGTTAAATTGATAGAAAAAGTGCAACAAGAAACTATATTCCAAGAGACACTTCCATTTCGATTTCGAAACTTTTTGCATGAAATTTATTTAAAAAATATATATATTTTGATCAATTTTGTTAATAATTTGTTTAAATGTGCATATATTATTATATATCATTTGAAAGCGTTTATAAATTATCTATGAATCTGTATATAACAATTTATATACCCGCAAACAAAATTTATGGCAAAAAATGTTTAAAGTTTGAAATCAAACTGGAGGTGTCTCTTGTTAACATTAAATTTATGTTGCAATTTTTTATTCTGACGTTTATTTTGTTATAAATAATTTAAATATAACAATAGTGTTATATATCATTAAAAAGCTAATAAAATTATATACAAATCTGCATATAACGTTTGGAAACTTTTGGAGCAAAATTAAGTAAGAAAAATGTGTAAAGTTAAAATTTTCGTATCGGAGTTATATGTGATATGTGCAATATGTACTGATATTATTTAATTTCCAGAATTTTTTTATAAATAATTTTGTTCAACAGTTACAAAACTAAAAACTGCATGTTTGTAGACAAATTAATAAGCTTTATATTAATATATAGTTAGTATATTACTGTTTCTAACAAAAGTTTTGACAATTAGTGTAAATTTTAAAAAATGTCCGGACTAGTATATTTGTTAATATTAAATTGAAAAGTTTTGAGTAATTTTTGTCAAAAATTTTGTTCCAAACTTTAAAAACCGTAATTAATATTATTAACAATCTTCCTAATACAGATTTATACACAATTTAATAACGTTTTTAGTGATATATAGAATACATAAATGTTCTACAACAATTTTTGCCAACAAAAATGCAAAGTTGGAAAAATGTAACCACCAAAATGTAATACTAAATTGCAAAATTCAAGCAATAACAATTATATTATATTATTAAAAACTTAATAAAATTATTTAATAATCTGTATATAATGATCAATAACTTTTCAAACAAAATTTGATAAGAAAATTATATGAAGTTTAAAATTTAGTATCTACTTACTTAGCCATTAGTAGATTCCATTGGTTACATTTTTTTAGTTTATGATAATTATTTTATTTAAATATTTGTTTTTTTTTTTAAACATGTATATATTACTAAATATCATGAAAAAGCTTCGAAAATTATCTATAAATATGTATATAACGTTTTAAAACATTTGGAACAAAATTATATTAAAATAATTGTTTATCTTTATAATTGAATAGTGACACCATTTTTGGTAAACAAGATGTCTGCTGGTTAGATTTTTTTAATTTCGATCAATTTGTTAATAATTTATTTAAACAAGTACATATTATTATATATCATTTAAAAGTAGATAGAATTATCTACAAATCTGTATATAACGTTTTAAAACTTTTCAAACAAAATTATAGAATAAAAATCTATTAAAATTAAAAGTTACTATTTAGTTATCAGCTACTGGTTACCTTTTATTAAATTTCGATCAAATTAAAAAATTTGATAAACAAGTATATATTAATATATATCATTAGAAAGATAATAAAATTATCTATAAATCTGTATATAACAATTTAGAAAATTTCTAACAAAATTTTATGCGAAAAATTGAAATCAAAATGGAGGTGTCTCTCTTAGTTGTTATTATTAACAAAATTTGTTATCAATTAAAATTAATTTCTATTTATTAGTATTGTAATAAATTTTGTTATTACCTGTGTTTGCGTTGCTCAAATGTCATTCCATTTTTATCGGTGCTACTTTTCTTCTTGGCTAATTCGGCTTGTTTTTTCTGATTCTTAGCTCGTGCTAAATCTCTTTGATTTCCTCCTGTCGGAACAGAAATATGTAAATAATAAATAAAATATTTATATATTATTTATTATCAGATTGTAAACATCAACAACTGATTAAGTTGAATTGTTTTTGTTTGTTTATGAATTACACTTTAAATATTAATAACAATTAATAGCAGACTTATTTATTGTTAAAATATAATGTGAATTATTCTAAATAATTAATTCTAAAATCCCTTTTTATGTCTCACAGTAAAGGAAGGTTAGTAAATTTAAAATGAAAACAAATTCATGTTTTCGGCATAAAATTTACATCTTGATGCATTCATTATAATATAGAGTGCATTTGTTGCAAGAAAATGCATTTTGAAACTTGTAAAATCCATTTTATGTCTTGCAAGAGACTTTTCCATTGCAGTAAAGAAAGGTTAGTAAATTTAAAATGGATACAAATCATTGTTTTCGATATAAAATTTACATTTTGATGCATTATAATATAGGGTGCATTTTGTTGCAAGAAAATGCATTTTAAACTTGTAAAATCCCTTTTTATGTCTTGCAAGAGACTTTTCCATTGCAGTAAAGAAAGGTTAGTAAATTTAAAATGGATACAAATCATTGTGTTCAATATAAAATTTACATATTGATGCATTCATTATAATATAGAGTGCATTTTGTTGCAAGAAAATGCATTTTGAAACTTATAAAATGCATTTTTATGCCTCACAAAAGACTTTTACTGCAAGTAAAGGAAGGTTAGTAAATTCAAAATAGATACGATTCATTGTTTTCGGCATGAAATTTACATATTGATGCATTCATTATAATATAGAGTGCATTTTGTTGCAAGAAAATGCATTTTAAACTTGTTAAATCCATTTTTATGTCTTGCAAGAGACTTTTCCATTGCAGTAAAGAAAGGTTAGTAAATTTAAAATGGATACAAATCATTGTGTTCAATATAAAATTTACATATTGATGCATTCATCATAATATAGAATGCATTTTGTTGCAAGAAAATGCATTTTGAAACTTGTTAAATCCATTTTTATGTCTTGCAAGAGACTTTTCCATTGCAGTAAAGAAAGGTTAGTAAATTTAAAATGGATACAAATCATTGTTTTCGACATAAAATTTACATATTGATGCATTCATTATAATATAGAGTGCATTTTGTTGCAAAAAAACATTTTGAAACTGATGACAACAAATTTAAAAAAAAAATAAAGAAATATTATAAGGAAATTGAAGATTGAATAGATATTTTAATTATAATAAATATTATATTGTAGTATAATGAAATAGACAAATGATATGTAAAATAAGAAAATAGTTTCATAATCTCTCATACTAGATACCCCTGTCTGACTGAGATATGAAAATAATATATAAATAAATAAATAAAATCCCTTTTTATGTCTCGTAAGTGACTGAAGTAAATGAAGGTTAGTAAACCTTGTACGAAAGAATTTTGGTTTAGTTACTCGTATTATAAATGAACTTTGACAAAATAAGATGCCAAAAACAATATTGATACAACTATTTAGCAATATTAATTCCATTTTGCATATTAACAAATAAATAAGTTCAGTTTTAACCTCAAACTTTCAACTGTCAACTTGCAAACTCATAAAGAACGCAGTAACAAGTTTCACTTTCAGCACAAAACTTTCACTTTTAAATTTCCTTACAACAAAACCTATCAAAACATTCTATAAACAAACAAAACAACTTACAACAAACAAACTCAACTATCAATTATTATTATTACCTCCATTACATCAATATATTACTTTTACTACCTTCGACCCAGTTCTGTCAAACCCAATTTATTTTACCATTTTAATAACAAACCATATCGATTTTTGTTATAGAAATATGTTAATTAAATTTATCGTACTTACTTGTCATTTTTGTTTACTAAAATCTTAATCTCCGACTATCAAGGAAAGAATAATTTAATGATTTTGTAAGCGCTCGCCGCCCTTCTTGTTACTTTTAGTTTTTATGAAACCGAATAATGAAATGCGAGGTGACATATGACAGCTCGCATTTAGTGTTACCAGAGGAGAGGAAATGGGTAATTGATACTTGGGAATGGAAATAAATGGTAATAATAAATTTGATATTTAACTTGAGTTTGTTTTGTACTGTTATTTATGTATATTAAAGCTAGTTATAAATTTAGTATGCATATTTAAATATATAAATGTCATCAAGTACGTTTTTGTATCTTAACCTTCAACTGTTTTTTTTTTTTTTTTTTTTTTTTTTATTTATTTATTTATATATATATATACATTATTTTCATATCTCAGTCAGGCAGAGTTGCCTGGTATGAGAGATTATGAAAATAGTTTTCATATAATATATACATTTCATTTGACTATAATATCTATTTCATTAATATAATATCTATATATAACTAAAAATATCTTTATATATATATCTCTTCAGTCTTCTTTGTCTTCAATTTCCTTATAGTGTTTTTTTATTTTTCTTTTAAATTTATCGTCATCTTTGGTCATCTTAATATTGTTTGGCAATTCGTTATATGTTTTGCTGGCACTCCATATGACATTTTCTCTGAAATTCTTCTTTCTATTGCGTTCAATGTGAAAATTGTTGTGTTGTCTAGTGTAGTGTTCATGTATATCTTGATTTATGTCTATTGTTGTGCTTGTTTTAATTCGGTTAAATTTCATTTTGTGTATTAGTTTGCATTTCTCTATTTTAATTATGTTATTTAGTGAAAGATTATTTGTTTCTCTCTGTAAGTATTTGGTGGTGTCAGATGTGGAAAATTGTATGCTATTTTGGTGGCTTTATTCATTATTGTCTGTATGTCATTAAGTTAGCTTTAGTTGTTTGGCTCCATGTTGTTATTCCATATAAAATTATAGGTAGTATTTGCGTTTAAGAATTAGTATTTTATTTTTTTTGCCGAAAGAGTGGATCCTTTTCAATGCCCCTGTTAATGTTCCTATTTTTCTTTTTATTTTGTTTATATGTTCTGTCCATGTCAGTTTTTCATTTATTATCAGTCCTAAGTATTTTATGCTTTCCACTTCTTCTATTTCTCTATTATTTACTTTAATATTTAGTTTAGTGTTCTCGGTATTTTTTTTATGTTTGAAGTATATGTATTTTGTTTTATTGATGTTAATTCTTAGTTTATTTTTAGTTAGCCAGTCGGTGTATGTTTTCATGTCCGTGTTTATTGTATCTTCGAGCCTTTTTTTGTCCTTATCTGCATATACTATGGCAGTATCGTCCGCATATAGTATGTATCTGCCCTTTAATTTTACATCTTTTAGGTTATTCGTATATAGCAGATATAATAAAGGACCTAAAACAGAACCTTGTGGGACTCCACAAGTTATGATGCGTCCCCCACTTGTAAAATTTCCCACCTTCGTCCTTACCACCCTTTCCACGAGAAAATCTTTAATTATGCTGTAATACAAACCTACTACACCCAAATCTATTAATTTGTTAAGCAATATGTCATGATCTACAGTGTCAAAAGCTTTTTGTAGGTCAATAAAAATTGCAGCTGTATGCATATTTTCCTCAAGGTGCTGACTGATGGTATTAGTCAAATCTATTAGGGCACCTTGAGTATTTGATGAAGGGAGGAAACCATATTGATGTTTATCTATTTTTTGAATGAGCAAATTTAGTAGTCTTTCTTTAATTATTTTTTCATATATTTTGGAGAATGTATTAGTTATTGTAATTGGTCTGTAATTGTTTGGATCTGTTTTTTTTCCTGCTTTAAAAATTGGTTTTATTGTAGCTGTTTTGAGGCACGATGGAAAAGTACCCCTTTTTATGCAGTTATTGATTAAAAAAGTGAGTAGAGGAGCTATTTGATAAATTATTTTTTTTATAATTCTTGCTGTTATTTTATCTTCTCCAGGTGCAGCGCTGTTTTTCAGGTTTTCCACAATTTTTAATATTTCTTTTTCATTTGTTAATTCAAAATTTTGTTTTTTGTTTTCAGGTCTAGATATTGATGATATGTAGTTGCATTGATCTAGTTTTTCTTGTAGTTTTGTTCCTATTTCAGCAAAATGCTTATTGAGATACTCCGCAATGTTTTCCTTTTCCGTAAGAAATATGTTTTTATCTTGATGTTTAATTTTTTTAATACTGTCTTTATATTCATTTTTATTATTTCCCCCCCTTAATGATTTGTTTATTAGCTCCCAGATTTTCCGAGGATCATTTTCACATTTTTGTGTTTCTTCTAGATAGTACTGTCTTTTTGCTTTGTAGATCATATTTTTTATATCTTTTTTTATATTATTATATTTTATTTTTATTATATTAACTTGTTTACTTCATTCGGATTGCATTTCTTCATATCAATGTAAAATTTGTTTCTATATTTCATTAGTTTTGTAATTTCTTCTGTTATCCAAGTATTTTCTCTTGCTCTCAGTGTTTCTTTGATTTTATTTTCATTTGCTGCTTCTTGTATAATTGAAATTAAGTCCTCTAGTGTGTTAACTGTTTTAGAGTTTAATTTACAAGCTATTGTGTTTTCTAGTCCTTCTAGTCTTATGCTGTATCTGGTTATTTTGTGCATTTTGGGTTTTATTTTTGGTGTATTTTGTACATATATTGATAGCATTTTGTGGTCGGATAGTTCTGTGTCTTTTAATTCTATGTTTATATTTTTTTTGTAGTTAGATATAACATGGTCAATTATGGAATGTGTGTTCTGAGTCTCTCGTGTAGCGTGTTGTTTATCTATATTGTTTATTATTCTGTATCCTGATGATTCTATGGTATTTTTATAATTATTTGCTATATTGTTGTTGGGTATTAAATCTAAATTCATGTCACCTATTATTATTGTATTTTTATTATTTTCTTCCATCTTTTTCTCTATTAAGTTAACTGTTAAACCACTTTATGCAAAATATTACTACATAATACTTCTTTAAGCCTAGTTCTTTAAGTATTTTAACAAATACAACAAATAGATTAATTTTATAAATGTATATCAAGTTAGAAATTTGATATTATTTTGCTATTTATATATAAATATTACTTTTCAAATTAGCAACTGTCAATGTGTCAAACCTTACTTCACTTTCAATTTGCAACTGTCAAAGTGTCAAATTAATTTATATAAATTAAATGTTTGTGTTTATTTATATAACTATTTAAACTTAATTTGTATTTGTTTTTAGTTATATAATTATAGCTAGTTGCAATATTAAATATTCGTGTTTATTTATTTAATATTATACTCTAAATTTGCAACTGTCAATGTCAAGTGTCAAACAAATGTCTTGTGTTCAAAGGAAAGTATATTTCATTTATTTTAACCATATATGGACTATTTAATTATGTATATAATATCTTAGCTATTTTTTACTTGTATTTTGTTATATAATTAAATTCCAATATATAATTATTATCATGTCATTTCTGACACCTATCTTTCAATTTGCAACTGTCAAAGTGTAAAACAAATTTTTATTTGAATGAGATATTTAAAAATATGTAACTATATAAATATTTTGCCGTTTTTTTTCTTGTTTTGTGTTTTATGATTATAGTAAGAAATAAATTTACTATTCAAACAATATTATATGTAAATAAATATTATTTATGTACTTTAACCTTTAATTGTCAACTGTCAAATTGTCAAACCAATTTGTATAAATATAATGTTGAATATTTATTTATATAAATATTTGAACGAATCGAATAAATATAGTTTGTTTATAGTTAAAGCAAGTTCCAAAGTTAATATTCGTATATAAAAATATATATTTTTTCTTAAACTTAACCTCAATTTTCAGCATACTCTTTCAGCTTGTATCTGCTTAATATTAGCTATTCTCTGCTTAATATAATAATATATACAGATTGCAGTATAAAAATGAATAAAAAAATTTAGCGGTCAACTTGTAAATATCATTATCTAAATATTTTCATGAAATAAATTAATAATATTACTTATATCATCAATCATCGTTAGCTAGTAAGATAATCTAATACTTGTGTAAGATTTGTTGGAGATTTGTTTTAAATTTTATATTATGAAAAATCTGTTTCAAGTTCCGTGGTTTAAAAATGAGCTTATTAGAGTCCTTTTTAAAAATCATTTTTAGTTTGCTCCTCAGTAGAGTCCCTTTTTAAATTCATTTTCAGTTTCATCGTCAGTAGAGTCCCTTTTTACTCCTAATTTCAGTTTGCTCTTAAAATAATTCTTTTAAATTCATCTTTAGTTTTCTTGTCAGTACAGACTCTTTTCCTCTTAATTTCAGTTTGCTTGTTAGTAGAGTCCATTTGTTTCCTAAAATCAAGTTTGCTCGTCAGTAGAGTCCTTTTTTAATTCATTTTTAGTTTGCTTGTCAGTAGAATCATTTTTATCATCATGATTCAGTGGTTTGGTCATTAGTAGAGTTCTATTTAAATTAATTTTGCTTATCAGTACAGTCTCTTTTCCTTTCATTTTTAATGTGCATTGCATTCATTTTTAATTTGCTGGCCAGTAAAGTCCCTTTTAAATTCATTTTCAGATTGCTCGTCAGTAGAGTACTTTTCAAACTCATTTTCAGATTGCTCGTCAGTACAGACCCCTTTTTTTCATTTTTAATGTGCTAGTTAGTAGAGTCCCTTTTCCAATCATTGTTGAGAGAAAAAGAACATGAAAAGTGACTCTACTGAAGAGCAAACTAACAAGAAAAGTTGTTGAGAAAGTAAGAAAGAAATAAAAAGAAAAGAATGAAAATGGGACTCTACTGATGAGCAAACTGAGAAGAAAAAGAAGAAAATAAAAGAGGGACTCTAATAATAATAAATAAGAAAGAGAATAAAAAAGGTCTCTACGGGACAGAAAATAAAAAATAAGACTGTACTGACGATCAAACTAAAAAGGAACTCTACTGACGAGCAAACTAAAGAAAAAGGAACGAAGAGCTTTACTTAGAAACAAATTAAATCTTTAGAAAGTAGTATACTTTGGACTGAAAAAAAATAAGTTTATTTATTTGTCTGGGTGAAATTTATTATAATTATTATCTATTTACACACATATATAATACATACACACATCATTTATCCAATATCGGTGCCAAACAATTCAGAATAACTTGGAAAATATAAAAAAAACTCTTTAAAAAAAACATAAATATCTCCTTACTAACTAAACAAATAAAACAAGTTTAAATTTAGTTTCAACATATATAATACTTATTTTCAAATTCAGTGTCAAACGATTCAGAATGACTTGGGAAACATAAAATAAACTAAGGTGGTCTCATAACATAACGTTGCCATGGGAACACTATCTTATGCTTGTTTGTAATGTGAAAATGTCTATCTATTTGCCGTACGATCAGGCGTATTTTACATATAAACAAAGCAAGAAAGAATTGTATAATCGAACATTCCTCCTTACTTGTTTTTCTGTAAAATACGCCTGATCGCACGGCAAATAGATAGACATTTTCAAATATACATTACCAAGCATACGATATTAATATACATATATTATACAAATATTAAATATTGTAACTTGCTATAATTATGTAACTAAAAACAACTACAAAAAAGGTTCAAATATTTATATAAATAAACACATAAACATTAAATTTATATAAATTGGTTTGACACTTTGATAGAAAAAACAATATTTATATATAAATAATAAGCAAATATCAAATTTGTAACTTGGTATATATTTATAACTAATTTATTTATTGTATTTGTTAAAATATTTCAAAACATATTATAAATAATGTTTTATAAATATCGGTAATAAGATAGCGTTGCTATGATAATGTTATGTTATGAGGTAAAATTGCCCGGTAAACAGCATTTTCTAGTAACATAAACATATCCTTAATAAAAACTAAATCCTTTACCCTTTATCATTACAACATAGTAACATCCGAATCCTTAACAAAATCGCTACGATCGAAAACACTATTCCAATCAAAATTCATATCCTCCTGGCACAAATTCACAACACTATCCTTATCCAAAAACGAGCACAATTCTTTAAAGGGCCTATAATCCCTCAACGTGTCCATGTCTCCGATCATTATTAATTTACACTTGGCCCTTGTAAGGGCCACAGTCAGTCTTCTCTTATCGTTTAAGATTTCGCCTTCGGTTGTAGTTCTTTTAGGTTCCGATAGTGCGGGAGCTGGTGGTGTCGATTTGGTGCAAGAGTATATTATGATGTCTTTGTCTCTGCCTTGGAATTGGTCTACTGTGTTTACTTCGACTGAGAAAGAGGGGGAGGATGTAGAGGATGTAGATAGGATGTCTTCGAGGTTTTGTTGTACTGTTTTTTGGAGTAAGGATACTTGTTTGCGATATGGGGCTATTATGCCGATTTGGTCGGGGGTTATTCCAACCTGGAAATAAAAGAAAATGTTAACTGATGGAGTAGTTGTTTATTAATTTCTTGAAGTGTAGAAATTTATTTTTTGAAACAATCTTTAGGATAAATTAAGATATAATTAAATTTAGGATGCAAAATTCTACATAAATGGTAGTTCCTACATAATTTACAATTTTTTGACAAATTTCAACATTTTTAGAAATTTTACAGCATTTTCAAATATATAATAACATTTTCAGATATTTTACAACCTTTTCAGGCATTCTACAATATGTTCAGACAATCTATAACAATTTTAGGCATTTTCAGACATTTACGGCATTTTACAACATTTTCAAGCACTCTACAATATTTTCAGACATTTTACAACATTTCTAGACATTTTACAGCATTTTCAGACATTCAACAAAGTTTTCAGATATTTTACAGCATTTTCAAATTGTCCACAATATTTTCAAGTATTTTGCAACATTTTTAGACAAATTACAATATTTTCAAACAATCTGCAACATTTTGAGACAATCCACAACATTTTCAGACATTAACAATATTTTCAGACATCTAGCAACTTTTTCAAGAATTTTATCATTTTAAAACATTTTCATCCAAATTATAATATTTTAAAACAATCTACAACATTTACAGACAATTTATAGTATTCTCAGACAACCTACAACATCCTTTCGTTTTAAAACACTTTCAGACAATTAATTTACAATATTTTCAGACAATCCTACAACATTTCAGTTATTTTCCAACAATTTCAAACATTCTACCATTTTTTCAGGCATTTTACGATATTTTCAAACACCCTAAAACATTTTCAGATATTTTATTGCTTTCTCAGATAGTTTATAGATTTGATTTCAGTCAATTCAACAGTATTTTCAAACAGTTTATAGAATTTTCAGACTATTTACAATATTTTCAAGAATTTGATAGCATTTTCAGACATTTTATAGCATTTTCAGACAATTTACAACATTTTCAACTACATGACAACATTTTCAGACATTCAATATTTTCATGCATTTTACTACTTTTTCAGATAGTTTACAGAATTTTCAGAAGTTTTACTACTTTTTCAGACAATCTACAATAATTTCAGCCATCTTGCAACATTTTCAGATATTTTACTACTTTTTCAGGCACTCTATTTGTAGTTTACAGAATTTTCAGCCAATCTACAGCATTTTCGGACAAACTACAACATTTTCAGGCAATCTTACAACATTTAAGAAGTTTTGCAATAATTTCAGACATTTCACAGCATTTTCAAATAATCCACAACATTTTCAGACTTTTTGTGAGATTTTCAGGCATGTAATGTTGCAACATTTTCAAGAAATTTATTATGTTTTGAGACATTTTTTAGATTTTTTCAGACACTCCACAATATTTTCAGTCAGTTTACAACATTTTCAAATAATCCACATTTTCAGGTATTTTACAACATTTTCAGACAAACGACAGCATGTTTAGACATCTTACAACATTTTCAGACATTTACCAACATTTTCAGATATTTTTCAACACTTTCAGACATTTTACAATATTTTCAGCCAAATTACAATATTTTCAGGCACCCTACAATATTTGCAAACATTTTACTACTTTTTCAGACACTCTGTGATATTTCCTGACAATTTACAGAATTTTCAGCCAATCTACAAAATGTTCTGATAAACTACAACATTTTTAGACATTTTACAACATTTTCAAACAAGTTTCAACATTTTCAGACATTTTACTACTTTTTCAGATAGTTTATTGAAATTTCAGTCAATTCAACAGTATTTTCAGACATGTCACAACATTTTCAGACATCCTACAGTATTTTTAGACAGGTTACAACATTTTCAAGCATTTTCAGATAAACTTTAACATTTTCAGACATTTTACTACTTTTTCAGACACCGAAGAACATTTTCAAATAATCTACAACTTTTTCAAGAATTTTATCATGTTTTTAAATATTTTTCAACAATTTACAACCTTCCCAGATATTTTACAACATTTTCATTTAAATTACAACATTTTTTTGCATTCTACAACATTTTCAGGCAACCTATAACTTTTTAAGACAATCCACAACATTTTCAGGCAATCCTACAACATATCTTAACCAATAACTTCTGACAATTTACAACATTTTCAGACATTCAACAACCTTTTTAGATAATATACAACATTTTCAGACAAATTATTACTTTTTCAGATAGGTTATAGAAATTTCAGTCAATTCAACAGCATTTGTAGACATTTTACAGCAATTTCAGTCATGATACATCATTTTCAAATAAACCACAACATTTTCAGACACCCAACAACATTTTCAGGCATTTTGCATCATTTTAAGACATCTTCCAACGATTTCGATAATTTACCGTGTTTTTTAGACATTGTACAACATTTCCAGACATTTTACAACATTTTCAGCGTTTAAAAACATTTTCAGACAATCTACAGCAGTTTAAGAGAATCTACAATATTTTGAGGCAAAAAGACTCTACTAGCGAGCAAATTGAATATTTACTAACCAGATAAAAAGGACTCTACTGACGAGTAAACCAAATAAGAATAATAACGAAATAGCCAATTAATAGTAACTAATATCTGTTTTTTTTTCAGTTTGTTCGACGTAAGAATCCTTTTTTTACTTTATTCTTCAGTTTCCTCGTCAGTAGGGTGTCTTTATCAGTGAGTTATTAATACTAACCTTTATCAAAGCGTTGACAATACACACAACAATATTAGCCTCGCAAATATTGGCACACGTTTCAACCTTATCATCATCATCAGTAGTCGCCTCCTCCAAATCATCCTTGCAACTCAAAATCCTTTCCCCACACTTCGTAAAAGTCTCACCAGTATCAACAAACTTCACCGAATCCTTCAAATCATCACTTATAACATCATACAACCACTTTTCACTCGAAAACTCATCACGAGCCAAAGATTTATTAATCGTAATAGTCCGAGAGCTGACTTGCTCGTTTGCACACTTCAGCAAACCGTTGTAGGTGAACTTATTGGCTAAGGCTGTTATGATGGAGTTCATACGATACTGGATGGTAAGTAAAACTTTGTTGTCAGGGTTTGAGGTGCAGAGTTGGTCGAAGAGGCTTTTGTCGAATCCTAAGGACTTAGCGTCTTTGCTTCGGACAACCGGAGGCAATTGTTCGGGATCGCCGATTAGGACGAATTTATCAGCGCTGAAAAGTGGACGCAAAATTGTGCATTGTAGGACTTGGGTGCTTTCGTCGACTATACACAAGTCGAAACGTTTTTGTGCAAGCACAGGATGACTCGAGCCGAGACAGGTGACTCCGACTACTTTTGCAGAGTTGTACACCTCTACCAGTTGCTCCACTGTGGTACATTTGGAGGTTAGACTCTCTTCGCTCTTGGATTGGATTTTGGGGTTTATACGCTTACTTGTGCCCAGTCTTAGGAAATCCACACCGGCCTCGTGCAGTTTCACCAACACATTGTCGACTGCCGAGTGCGTGTGGCTGGTGATCAACACAGTTTTGTCCAAAGACACCAGCAATTTAATCAGGGCGACGACTGTTTGGGTTTTGCCCGTACCGGGCATACCTTGGATTAATAAATAATCCTGTGTGGTTAAGACTTTTAACACAGCACGTTGTTGTAAAGTGTTCAAGTGCTTTAAGGTATCAGCAGCTTTTTGTTTGATGGTACTGGATAACTTAGCATCGAACTTTGGTGCCTCTAGATCGATAATCAAACGTCTGAGTTTACCCGCGTGTTCCGTATCATCCAACAAAGTCCCTAAATTTGTCGTATTAAATGTAAGTTGCGTATTACTCGAGTATAAGTCCAAACAAAACTCCTCACTAGTTTTATATAAGTTTGATAAATTTTTGTACAATTGTATAAAAATTTTGGTAGGGTTCAGAGATTGTATAAAGCCTGCAGCAACGTTGTAGCGTTTCTGAGTGCTTACCATCACATAATCACCCGGAGTGATATTTGTGTGTATTTGTTTACCCCGCCCAAAACAATGTAAAAAAGAGCCTTCGTGCTGGACGACTTTACCATCGATTTTTAAACCACCGACACAACCACGTGTAAGTTCACGATGCTCCACAGACTTTGTCCACAATTGTTTGTTTGTAGACTCGTCCATGCAGTCTTCTAGGTACAAAAGTTTACACCAGGTGAAAAAATATTGTAAGTGCTTTTGCGTTAAATGTTCCAAAGCCGGTTGTGACAATAGTGTTAAATTATGTGTATCCGGTAAAGTTTTAGGTTGTAAATACGCCGAGCATAAAGTTAAGTACGGACAAGTTTCACACGCACGATGATTTATGGGTTCAGGCAAATCAATACTTAACCCAGTCAAATCTGTTAAGCGCCCACAATTATTATTAATATAGTTCCTAACGTTTTTCTGACTCGTATACAAATTTATCTCGTTCCTCAGCATTATCAAATCACGTTGTTCGTTCCACGTAGGCTTCACATCTTTAACAACGCCCTCACGCAAATACAACAACAAACCTTTATCCACATCCACACCTAATTCCTGCAACATCATTACGTACAAAATTACCTGGCCCTTGTGCTCCGGGGAAAAACTAGCACGTCCCGTTTTCAACTCCAACGGAACACGTTTGTGCAACGTCACTTTACAAGTAACATCAATTTTACCTTTTAGGCCTAACGAAGGCACCCATAAGTTCTCCTCGATATCCAGAACCTCCACAGGCTTCTTGGACATAACCTCGACAATCTTAGGCACAAACTTATCAATCTCACCATTAATCTCCTCGCTCGTAAGTTGTGAACGATACAACATCTGTATCGTACTACTTTTTTGCATTATCCCTTTCCACACGTTACGTACAAACTCATCATCAACTTTGGTATTTTGTATGCAACTTTGGTACAGCTCATGCACAAGTGATCCGATGGTCATGATTTTGCTCTCGATGTCGATGCCTTTGTATATTTCACTCAAGACTCCTTTGCGTGCACAAAATAAACCACCAACGACACTTGTACCAGATATAAGGGAGTCAGGATCGGTTACTAGCAAACCGTTGGTTGCGTTTACGATCCATTTGTTGTTGTCGTTTAAGGCTTTTATGGATATTATGTCGCCTGGTTGTAAAGCGAGTTGGGTCCAGGGGAATGATAAGGTGCACCATGCTTTATCGGAGGAGTTTGTAGTGCTTTGTAGGTGTATACACTTTGTGTTGCCGTTTGTATTTACATGCAATATGACACAACGTTGTGTGGTGGATAAGTTTAAAGTGTCTTGCGGAGCCCAGTCTTCGTCACACAAGAATGGATCTAGATCATCGTTTTGTAAAAAGTCTTGCAAACAATTTTCTTTATCCTCGATGTCATGTTTTAAGTGCTTTTTTTCATCGAGTGGAACTTGTGGAGACATCTTTCTTTTTTTGGTATCGACAAGTCATCCCAGACTTCTTAGGACTTTCTTGAAGCACGTTTTTGACTTTTGTCTCAGAATTATTTTTAACATCATCTTCTTTTTGTTTAACATTGCTTGTTGTATTATTCTTAACAAAATAATTAGAAATTTTATTTTTAGACTTGCTGGATTTTTTGTTATCCATATTGAGTAAATACATACATTTATATTAAACTTGTTGCAACATTTATAATATTAAAAGTATTAATTACAAGTGACAAATAAAAGTGCGCCAAAATTTGGCACGAGCAGTGCTAGCAAACTAAAGGTCCATTGCCAAATATAATACAACGCATTGCACAACTTGTATAATAAAATATTTAACACTTGCACAAAAAGCGTTTTAAAAAAATTCTTACAATTTTACCCTTATGTCAAATGTTTTAGGTTCACCTATTAACAATCACTAAATACATACATTTTACACAAAAACTACACGCATTTATAATTGTAATATACTCTTTAAGCCTTGGCATTATGTTTTAAACTTTGTTAACTCTTTTTATGTTTAAATTTAATAGTTTTGTGTTAAATTTAACCCTGACGCTTATTTGTGTTTAGCACCATTGTTTTGTTAGAAACTGTCAAAACCGCTCGCTTGACAGTTGATTAAAAGTGTCGCCAACTTCAGGTGGGTTTTCTTGATAGTTTTTGTAGCGCGAAATTCAAATTCAAATTTTGAAAGTAATAAGTTTAAAATATTAGGAATAATTACTAAATGTATGTGGCATTTTGTCTTAAAACAAGTTGCATATATTTTCCTATATGCTTAATTAATAAACTTATCAATTGATTAATTTATTGAAAGTAATAAGTTTGCAATAATTATATTTAACTCGGTGTAAGTGACATTAGCCTTAAGGCAAAATAAGTGAAAATTGGACATAATGCTTCATGAGTGATTATAAGTATATAGTTCTTATAATGTTAGGAACTGTTTAGGTTTATTTAATTTGTACAAATTTACTATTTAACATACAAGTTAAATGAGTATTTTTATATTTGGCTTAAAATTTTATTATGATAGATCATTGTACTTTATAAGCTAATAAAATTACCTATAAAGGTGTATATAACTAATAATAACTTTAAAAACAATTTAAGTGCAAGTCTTTAAGCAAGTTTCATAACTTCCAAGATATTAATAAACTCTTTTCATATTATGATTATAATGTTTTCTGAAAAATTATTATTTTGAATATAAAGTTTCTGTTTTTATTAAAGATGAGATTTCCAAAATTATGTCTTTCAAAACAGACAAAGTTAGAATTATAATATTAGTTTTTATATATTGCATTTTTTTATATCCACGTTAATATTATTATAACTAGCTGTAAGTGGAATCTGTCTTGAGGCAATTATGGCATTGTGCCTTAAGGCAAATTGCTGGAACTTCCCGTACCGTAACGAATGTTTGAGGAATACTGAATTTTTCAAATAGATTATTATAAATATTGTAACATTGTCTAATATTTATACAAATTATATAAACTGATTTGCAAAGTTGAAATTATTTGTAAAGTATATTAGAACTAGAGTCAGAATTAAAATAAAATGTGAATATTTTCGATATACCAAAAAATTAAAAATAAAAAAAAGTTTGGAACAAAATTTTTTTTTCCAAAATAATTATTTTGTTAAAAGAAGCATAATTCTTTGAATCATTCAAATAGGACGCTTAGTCCCTCAAAAAATTGCCATTTTTTTGCACATTTAGCTCCGTATCGGTTCGACCTGCCTTTGCCAAAAACTAATCAGCACGTCTACTTATCAATAGGAATTGTTTGCTTTCTGAATCATTTAAATCGGTTGTTACGTACGCCAGAAATCGTCGAAAAAAAAATTGCATCTACACATACATACACACATACAAATATCAATTTTTTCTAAGGTATACCAAAATGTTCAGAAACTTCTTCAAGATATGTAAAAATGTTTAATTTCGATTTTCGTACGATTACAATAACTTACTGACTTACTCTATGGGAAGTTTAAAAGGACAAAATGTAACTTCAATATATGACCACACCGTGACACCAACGTGTTATTATGCTATTAATGATTTCAAACCAATATATTGATTCTACTCATCAGGTTTGTGTATTTATCTCGAGCCCACCTTCGATAATAAAGTTAAACACTTTTATAGAGTGAATTACACGCGATAAGAGCGGAAGACTTTAATCGCTTAAGACGTCGGGCCTAATAAATTCTGACACGCGTCTTAACGTATTGTGGCGGAAGCAAATAAGCGAATCATAGATAACCGAAGCTCTAACTTGATCCCTTTCTGTCGAAGAAAATCTTCTCGAGGCTGCTATGAATACCTTTTGTATGGTATCATAACAATAGGAACGAAGAGGATATAATAAAAGCTCCATTATATAAAAGGATTAGTTAACTGAAAGTAAATAATGCTCTTTCTTCGGATTAACTATTGTATATTTCAGGAATTAAGCAAATTGGGGTTAAACATGATAGTCGAGTTGCTAAAACTTTTGCTTCTTCTCGTAAAACATTTTGAAAAGTTACCACTATATTAAAATAAAAAAAATTCTAACTATATATATATATACCTCTATAATCAGCACACAATTATTCAGATCTTATCTATTCAGGCACCCACTTCGATAGACTCGGAAGCTCAATTCAAAAAGTAATTATAAAAATTTTATCATTTGAGAATATAGATCTGAGTAAAAATAATCCCATTCTAAAGAGATTAGACAGCTACTTTTTCATAGTACTTCACGTAGTTGTTATATCAATCAAAACTGCAATATGCTATGAATACTGTTAGTTCTAAATCGATATTGTTGTAAGAAGGCAATACATAGATTGTCCTTATTCTATCTGAGATATAGTTTTAATTCTTATACTGAAATCTATTAGAAAGCAATCTCTTGGTTGTCGTTCTTATTGGGATATTGCAGCAATGTCGGATTAAATGTTAGTTTCACTTAGAAACATATTTAGACAGCTACTGATGTTTAATAACATAATATCTTAATAGCTTTTTATAACTTTGGTGAGGAATTATGTTAGCAGAACCCAAAACACAAATATAGAATATAGATGGTTGCAAGAAAAAAACATATAGTAGAATTGCTGCTCAAATATATGGTTGTTACTTGTTACATGGAAAAGGTTTCCAATACATTACAGGAGAATGTATCAACATAATATAACAGCAGTTCAAAAATTCAAACCAATTCAAAAATATCTCGAATCCAATGTCGGATTAAACGTTAGTAAATTTAATGAACATAAAAAATATTAAATATAAAAAATCTAAAGTTTTAATAATAGAAATATAAAAAAATAAGATGAATTCAATCAGTTTTTTTCTAATTCAAAATCAAGAAATTTTCGAGTCAAAAAATCATTAAATGAAATCATTCTTTCAATGATTATTATTTTATATAATATTTATTATTATTTATTACTTTATATAAAGAAGAAGTTGGTAACTTTATCTTTTGGTTGGTAATTTTATCTTTTGAAATTTTATGTACAAATTGTGGAACAACACTGCCAATATTGATAAAACTATAAGTAGTTAATGCTTCAAAAATCCAAATGACACAACATATTTTCGAATACTTATAATTTCCATTAAATCTGATATAGTACTATAATAAAGCTTTAAAAATTATATTGATTTTGAATTTGTAAAAAATTATTTGAACTCGTAGTTCAAAACGTTTATCATTCTAAGCCTTTTTCTACTTTTTTGTTCATTGTAAGAATGTAAAAATGATCGATCACATTTTCTTCTGAAATATATTTGTTGAAATAAAATATAATCTGTACTTTGTTATTTTAAAATTTAATTTTTGTATAAAATTTGTAATCATAAGAAAACTATGAGAAAAGGAGAACTATGTAAATATAAAAATCATAAACGAAAAATATTAGATAACAATTTTGTATACAAAACTGGAAGGTAACTGGAATCAATAAAGATTATGTACTGTGAAACCAACACCTGAAACTCACCAGCTTTAACCAAGTTCAAAGCTTCATTTCATACTTGTTGCACATACTGCCCGTTTGCAAGTGATATCAAATCACCTATCTAATTATGAGGTGGGTTATTAGTCCTTTTGTGAAATTGAATGCAGATACATTAATCAATGTACTGCAATTAAACACAATACAGTTGATAGATGAAACTCCAAAATCACTTCCAAATATTAACATTGGCAGAAGGTAAAAGGCGATATATGGATTTGACAATATTGTTTAATTAAAAGCACTAGTACCGTGCGCGACGTTTTGAAGATAAAAAAATGCTTTTCATTTTGTTAACTGCATTTTGCTTTAAAATTAATTATCAACATTCAATATATATGAATATAATATTTTTTTTAATACGACTCATTATCAAGGTCCAACATAGTATAGAATAATTAAAATATTCTATACTATGCAAAACTTTACAAGCAGGTATCATTAATATACTTCAAATTTTCATTATTTCAATCAGTTGTTTCATGAAAATCATACCACCAAATATAATAAATAAACAGATTAGTCTACTGGAAATCACATAGAGAGTTCATAAACAACAAATGGGCGGCCTTTCTACTTTCTACTACTTTTCTCTTTGCGTATATATTTATTTGAGAACAGTTAGACCTCAGGAAATATAAATATATACGGAAATTGGGAATAAATCTTAGAAATAATTTGAAACAATTAAACAATTTAATAAAGTATTTTGTACCTCAACTTAGGAGTCGAAATAATTAGTGCTTCAGTGAAACAATGTAGTACAGTATGTTACAATTAAATGAAACTACCATTCTCCAGAACTTGAACGATAATAATTTGGGATGAATTCAATAAGCAATTTTAGATATGATGACAATACAAATTTCAAATTTAATCGTAAAGCAGAGAAATGATTGTTATCATAAAATTATGTTGAATTGCATTTGAGAAATCTTTAATTAATTCAT